CAAAAAATCCCGACTTGAAATGAAAATGGGTGCGACGGTGGAACCGCCACATGGTGTGAATAGTTCATTGGTCCAATTGTTGAAAAAAAAGAAATTTTTTCAAAACGAAAATGCAGCAACAAGGAGAATACTAGAAAGAAAAAACAACAACAATTTATGAAAACGACTCATAGGCCCATTTTGTGTCCAATAAATAAGTTTCAGTGTTTATTTTTAATAAAGAAAGTTAATATGATATTTGAAGACGAAAAATAAGCGAACATTTTGAAGTTTGAGTCATCTGGTGAACTCGTGATATTTTAATAAACACCGATAAACTACATAAAATTCTGCTCTAAAATTTCTGTGGTGCTCCTCTTTGCTTGGTGCCCTAAGCACGTGCTTATATTGTTTACTGGTTAATCCGGCGCTGTATCCATGGGAAAGATCATAGATCGATTATGTTCAGTATTATTCGTTCAATCAATATAGTTCATATCAATGGCTCAAACTGAATATATTTTTTGATTCTGAACTCTACGGATATATATATGCTGATTAATAAACAAACTGTATAATATGTTGCATCATATAGTCAGGAAGTAAATTTTAAAATCTTAAATTCATGTGTTGGTAGCTGGTAACACTCGTGTAAATCTAATTTTTCCATGAGGTTTTATTTATCCACGCATATACCATATTATGTCCATAACCTAACATAACATAACAGTGAACGATTTGCACCAAACTTTAATTTGATTGGATGGATTAAAGTAAACTGTGGACGCCGACTGAAAAGAGCGCTGTCTGTAAATTTATAATGACGTCCCTGATTAGGTCCGACTTTAAATGCCCTACATCGACGAATCTAAAAATTATATTTATTTGATCAAAATGAGTCCAATTTGCCATAACTTCACAGATTTGGGGATATGGATGATGCGTCATAGAAGTTCATTCTAATGTATAAAATGTATTGTCTGATAACAAATAATTGTAAGGTTTTTCGTCATTTTGACGTGACTGGGGCTGATAAATTTCCAATCGTACCTAAATACTCCCAACTTTATAATAATCGTCGTTCGCTGTTAGAAGCGTCGTCTTAAAGTTGAAACTAGGCTATATCTTAGTTGCTTATTAATTGAGCCACAGTCAAATATTATTCTGGCATGATTATAAACAACCATTTCTGTAACTGGGACGTAGACGCCACGTATCGTAAATACTGTGGGCTACACGTAGAGTTAGATTTTATTATAACTAAATATATTATAGCCTATACTTCTACTTATTGATTTATTCTGTACAGTACACTAAAGGTAAAATTAGAAGAAAACATCGCTGAGCGTTCGGATAAGCGCTACGTAAACAAAAGAACCCGATGTTTATATTGCCCTTCAGAATCGCATACTTGTTTCTTTGTCAGTATATCTCAAGAAATATAATTACGCTTACATAATTTTGTTTACAGATATACCCGAAAGAACGTGTTGAGTTTTCGGTGATCTACCAATTATAAACATCTTTATTATTTGTTTAGCTTATTAGCGGTCGTTCATGTTTACACTTTTGGCCAGTCCGGGTCTAAACAATCTTCGTTATAGATTGTTATCCGAACCGTTTCTGAACAGGAAAATTTTATTCAATGACATCTTGGGATGTTATTGTTATTGTTTTTTTCACAAGCAGGATTATTTGATCTCTAATACGACCACTAAATCTCAATTCGTTGAAATTCAAATCAGTACAAAATAAATTTTACATCAATAAATTAAAATCAAACATCAAGCATCAGTGGTTTAGACTTTCTTTGATTTTTATATTAACATCTCGACGCAGTCTTATTTGTCATTTGTAACTGTTGTTTCTACATTCATAGATTTCAGCAAAGTGAAAATCAGTGTCTTATATACAGAAAAGAGAAAATCTCACCAATTGTAACAATTGAACAAAGTTTTTAATTAAATAATGTGTTCTGCGATTGAATTAGTTATTTCTCCCGACCTCGTACTCATGTTATAAGAAAATACCTCAAATATGTATTGATTATAAGTGATTCCAGGGAGTACGTTGCTTCTTTCTGATGTGGTACATTACCCACATTTCATGAAATTTTCCATTTGGATAATCACCGTAGCGCCACAAAGTTGAAACAAAACAAAGATTTGAATACTGTTGTCGTTGCTTGTTTCCAACATCCCTACATCAGATTATCGTATCACGTTTGCTTACAATCATGTATCAACAATTTTATTTTTAACTCAACTGGGCGATTCCGTTCTGGTTGGCGAAAGCACCATTTGCGTATTGTAATGAAAATCGACTATTGTTTATATTTAGTTGTATAAACACTAGTAGTCAATTGTTTACTTTCAAAAGATTTTATCTCTCTAAACATAAACATCGATATAACGTAAACATGGGGCACTAAGCACTGACTGGTTCTGATACAAACCACCAGTGCCTCCTGATTCATCGCGACATTTCTTTTTTGAACGTTTCTGAAAGAAATTTTGTGAGCATTAATATTTATCCATTTTCTAATATTTTATCTTAATATTTTTTGTTTAAAAAATCGTTTTCACATAAAGCAAGACAAAATTTAGAGAATATTTGATAGGGTTTTGGAAATTATTAAATTTAAAAAATATACTTTTATACACATAACATCTTCTACTTTTGTCAGTGCCGCATCACATTTGATTGTTTATTTGTTATTTCAAATATGAATTTATCGTTAAGTCTCAAATTCTTTCATAAATGAGAAATGTTGTGTTCTCCAATCAGATATTACGCATCTTATGTGAACTACGTGTATCAGTTCAGTTCAAAACACCCGGAGACTTTAATAGAACGTGACAACCCTAGGTATAATTTCGGTTTGTTGTTTTGACAGTTATTTCTCTCAACTGTCATGTAGTATGCCGTGAACCCTATGTTTGCAGAATTTTTTAATCGCACTTCCCCTGAATTTTAGATAGGAAATCAATGACAGATGCTAACCAAGATTAACTAAATTTGCATTCTTTGACGTCTTTCTGACGCAGTTTGTATATGTTCCGTATAATAAAACTTTTAAAGTTTAAATGGTTTTGTGGGTAAGGTGTATTTTTGGCTGTTACGAGACAAACTTATCGGTGTATATTTTTAGTAAACGAGCAAGTCAAACACCATCGCCTTGTTGGTTTAACTGGAAATATCTACAGCATTTTGATACCAATAACGTTGCCCTATTTCTATTAAACATATTCTTGCATTTTCTAGAATTCAGTAATAGTTGTTAACACGTGATTGTAAATACCGGTAGAACCGGTTCAATTTGTGCAATAATTCACAGCGTGATGCAATTTAATGTGTGCTGAATTATAGCTGGTAATTGTTTAGATTCGGGATGAAGTTCGAAACAGCAGCATTTTGTTGATTATTTTGTACAAATTTATCCAGGGGTAGTATTTAAGTAGTAGTATTTGAGCTATTTAGACTACATATATATTTATGAGTTTAGATGTGGTTTAATGATTCATAGTGTTTGTGTAAACAATAATGAAAAATATACTGGTTAAATTCCATATCTACCAAATTTTAATATGAAAAACGAAAATAGGAAAATGTTACCAAAGTGCTAAAATATTGAGAGAATTTAATCAACATTAGACCAAAATTTCGTGTTTCGCTCAAACAATGCAAAGTATGCTTCATAGATAGCAAGCGAGAATGCAATCCTATCTAGTCCCTCCTTTCATAACATACGAAAACATTTTCTCTTTTTAATTTCAATTTACCAAATGTACACTGATTTTAGCGAGCTGCGGCGCTTTATCCCTACGTTGTTTGCGTCCTAATTATACATAAATTTATAGTTGATATTTTGATTTAGTATTTACTGTTGCCATTTCTATGAAAAAAAAAAAATTTGTTTTCCTGGAATTGTTGAATTCGCCTTCACCTACCTATTTCCCTGGGGTTTAATTTGCAGTTTTTCAGGTGATATCTCATTACCTCGCGTTGTACAAATTCTCAAAAAAAATTGGCTTAATATTAAACTTACTATCTCCGATCTTGATATATTAACTTTTAATTACTGCATCCCTAAATGCCACTTGGACATCAAGAGTAAATTTGTTTTCAAAGCATTTCCAGACGGTTTCCTCTCACCATATCATATAATCGTTTAATCTGACGTTCCTCTGTATATGATTTTTCTTTTAGTTAGGCGTTAGGTTCAATAGTAAATGTGTAAACGTGAATATACAACAATTGGCTACAACATTTCTTTTTAATATTCACTCGAAATTGAAATGCTGGTTACGATTTTCAGTACGTTCCGCTCAATTAACCAACTTCACTCAAATTAAATCTTAGGTAATTGTTTTTTTTCTATGCCAATTACTTCATGGTTTATTCTGAAACACTACTATGATATTGAATAGGGTCGTTATATAGTATATGCTTATATTCTCAACAATTGTAATCTTGAAGTTTAATCTCAAACCCGCGACATTCCGGACGAAGTGACTGGTTTCTAATAATAGAAAAATGTGACGCACATGCGCTATTTAAATTACTGATGACTTCGCTTGGATATATTGGTATCAGGCATTTTCGAAGTCATATTTTGAGGATAATACCAATCTATCGGAGATACATTAGTTTTAGCATTACATAGAAAAGTTTGGTATGTCATATATTGTAGATTTTAGGTACATAATCCAGAAATGCTCTTTGTGGTCACATGACGAACTTTTTATATATTTTTCCACTCTAATTATTCCTTCCTATTTCTATACAACCTTTAACACCTGAATGATATATGATGCTAATTAAATATTGACAGAAGAAAATAAAGTAACATATTATACCAAGTGAAAATAGGTTTAAACGCAGTACGTACCTTGGCCATCGCGATTAAAATGTTTCACTGGTTGTCCTTAAACCGTCTCATAATTGTTTATTAAACCACGCTGGCAAAACATAAGCAAATTTATCTGGATCGACCCATTTTCATCATTAGAAACAATCAATTTACCAAGATTTTATTAAATTTGCACGCCATTTTAATGAGAAAAAATGTTACACATTAGGCGGGCGTTTACATTTCTTGAAAATATATAAGTGTAGGTGTAGACCACTCTTAAATTTAAATACAGTAAAATAATAATACAAGGCACTGGTTGCACTACAAAACTCATAGTTAAAAACGATATTTTCAGTTAGTTAATAAACCAATGAAAAGGTCAAACGCTTTGTTGCTTACTGATAAACTAAAGTAGTAGCTTTCAACTAATAAATAAACTGTTAAAACGAAGCCAAGACGATCAGATATCGCTATAGCGAAACTTCTCGTTACTGCAATGGCGGAACTTGGATTTGTTAATATTGAAGAAAAAAGTTTACAATTTTTACGCATTTTTGTATAGATATACAAATATAACGTTGTTCGCGTCAAAAATATAGAACTTTCAATATATATACGAATATATTAGCAATAAAAATATAAAATACTTAATATTCTTGCTACAAAGCAAGAAATTACAATGAAAGAAGTAAGCGAGCGTCGAAACAAGCGATAAATAATTAAATGCAGATTAGTAGAATTAGTTTTACCTTCTGTGATGTTCTGACATGTTGTCAGAATAGAAGGAAGTTGATTTGTGGAAGAAAAACAAAAAAGAATATTTACAGTGGTGTTAGTACATGCAAGGATTATTGATTGCGTATAAATTATAGCACATGAGCGAGATTTATTAGAGATCTCTTGTCAATTAAAATAAAAATATTATATTTAATAGCAAATTCATGATTGTTTCAAATGCCAGTCAAATCACGACAATAGTAAAAGCGAAACGATAAAATTTTCTTTATTTTGGAAAATATCTTGAGTTGCAACAAGACATTTCTACAAACTTATATAAGCAAATAAACCACCAAATCCACCACAAGCGAATCCTTTTTATTTAATTTAGGATTGCCTTCACATTGTCCATTCTATCAGTATTTGTTCTTGTGCAATAATACGTTGTAAATATGCGAGAGCAGCATAGTAATTTGGTCCTCGTTTCTATGGCATTGAAAAGGTGCATAGCCTGTACAAACACAGATAGTCGAATGGCTTTTGTATTACTTCAGTCACGAATATTGACATCATGAGTACTTTTTGATACTGAATGCTCAGTTAAAAAAAGGGAAAATAAAGGGCGAAAGAGTTTGCTCATAGCTATCTCGGACCATTGTCATTTTGTCCTCCTGATTTTACTGTCACAAGTCCTAGGTTTGATGTCTTTTCATATGTAGTGCAAGATGGTCCGAACGTGAAAAGCATCTTCCACATACCATGCATTTAAAAGGTTTTGCTCCGGTGTGTTTGCGCATATGACGGGTCAATTCGTCCGATCTGGCGAACCTCCAATCACATCCGAGCCAGCTGCAACTATATGGCTTTTCTCCTAGAATTAAAAAATTAAAGAAACGTTAGAATTATGTACTATTATTGCAAACGGATATATGTATACGAACACTATTCTTGATCCTAAAAGAATTAACGGGAGAAATGTTTATAAACCATCGATTGTACTCACACGGCATAACGAAAAATCGCTTGGTAGGAGAACAGACAATATCCTATTCATATTTAACTAAAAAGTATTTCCTATTGAGTCGTCACGACTCGCTTGGTTAACATCGAATAGCCATCAATTCGATTGATGAAGCAACTATTTGCTTTGTAACGCTCGGGGATGTATGAATAATTTTTCTGTTTTCCATCCTCACCTGTATGAGTCCTTTGGTGTGCTTTCAAATGTGAACTCTTTGTGTAAGCTTTTGTACAATCTGTAAAGAAATTATATTATTTTATAATTATACTTTAGAATCATAATAAAATTATGATAACTCTTAACTACAAATTAGTTTTTTGGAAAGGAAAACTCAATTATTGATCATATTACCCATTGCGGAATAGATCAATAATGCTATATTTGTTGTATTAATGGGATATGGACCGTTCCGTAAATTGCTGCTGTGTAATAATTACATATTTCTTATTCCGAGTTTTTTGAAACTTCGATTTCGGAAAAATCGTAATATCGTTCCATCCACACACAATCTGTTCAAGTTAAATACCATTATTTGACGTGGTTTTCAATAGCATAACCTGGTGTGTACGCCGTACAGTTATATTGACATTAATACGCACTCACACGCACTCGATAGCGAATTCGAGTCCACCTGTGCAAAGAAAAATTGGCGCTCTTAAGCAATATTCATCTCATACTACTTGGTTGAAATCTTTAACCGGTTTTGGCGCGTTCGTGATGAATTAGCGTGCGTGGCTCGACTAATTCTTTAGTAGTTGCTTGTCTCTTATTTGACTACGTGATTCCCACTATTTAGGGGAAATTTGCGCCGAGTCATTTAGGCAATAGGTCGCATTGCTTAAACGGCCTAGACGACATTGATTAATTACAAAAATTTTGATATACAATTGCAAAGTTTTTTGTAGTAACTAAAGCTCTTACCCGGATATCTGCACTTGTGCACTCTTTTCTTTTCAAGATCTGGGTTGTTTCTGCGGCTGTAACGGGGTCTGTATGGAATTGTACCATTCATCGCCAGTGGGTAAGGAGGTGGCGGCCTATGCTCTCCGCTGTGTCGCGCGGGGTGGAATGATCCGTGAGACATGGCTAAGCTGTTTGCAATGATGTGATGGTGATGATGTCTACTATCACTTGCAATATGATGGGGGTAAGGGTGGGCAAGTGGAATTGCAGAATTGCCATCCACAATTGGTTGAAAATTCACCTGTGGTGGGGGAAAGTAGGGATGCACGTTGCAATTCTCTTCCTGAACCGACATAGGCATATATTCATCAGCAACGCCAAAGCCTTTTTGACCACAATCGGCCAAAGGTTCTTGTTTCAAAACCATGCCATTTTGAAAGTGTCCCGGTGTGTTAGTAATATTGAAAAGGTTGTTTGCTCGTTCTCCACATTCGCCATGGAAAGTCGTTAATCGAGAATCTAAACTACATCTTCTGTTATAATTTAAGTTGTCTTCGTGCCTTGACGAACGCAATACTGCTTCAGGGCTCATCATTCTACTATTGCATATTCGCAAATCGGGGTCCGATTTGACACAAGTTTGCTGGTAATTGTTCTGAAATTGGCAATCAGTTGAAGACAAACTCGGATACGTTGACGTTGGAATGAATGAATTAGACGAGTTAGATATATAGTTTTCGCTGTTGCTTGTTAAACTTGTTGAACGTGACCTAGAAATTGGTGACGTGTATATATCCGTAAACCCTGAATTGGTAACAGGTTGCATCGTTGTATTAGGAACGACGGAATTATTACTTTGAGAATGTTGCTCGAAAGATGCATAGGAATCAGACTCAGAACACTGGCGTGACCTAGAACAGCATCCGTTTGAGTTGACATAGCAGTTGCCGGTAGTTTTAGACTGGATGTGAAAAGGAGATGTTGATCCGATTGAATCAACGGGCGAAGAAGGATGAAGCATGTCATCGGACGCTTTTATAAATGTCGATACGGGAGGGATATTAGGCGAAAGTGCTTGGCTAGAGTCTGTGTGTGGAGGGGAAGCTGATGGCATGGCTGATGGACTATGCATGTGATGATGTGGTGACGAACCGCTCATCGTGTTGTGGGGGGAGATACTTTGTGCGGGCGAGGCAATTATTCCGTTATGATGCGGAGATCCCATATTACATTGATTAAGGTGGTTTCCATTTTCAGTTTTTTGGTTCACATGTGAGCTGTTGTTCTGGATATTGATGTAATTGTTGTTGTTATTAGTATTTTGCTGTTGAACGACGACATTGAAGTTCACATTTACAAATGGTGTTTGCGTCATTGTTCCCAATCCTGTGCTAGGTTGCCCAAGAGATTCTTAAAAAAAAGGTTATTTTAATACGCGAGTTTGAATCGGTATTTATCATGAGGAATGTGTTGTTATATCAAATCACTCACCAACTCCGCAATTAATGTCAGCTTCTGACAATATTTCGTTCACTCTCGATGCGCTATCTCGTCGGAACAAGTCCGGGTCTGATTTGAAAGTTGGGCGCGATCGCGCAGATGTGGGCGGTACATCGTAGCTCGGATAGTGGGTAACAGACGGTGGTGGCATTTCCATGAGGCCTGACGTATAGATTGGCGGAGTCATTGTGTCCAGGGTCGTCATCAGCGTTGTGTCAATGCTCTCGTTGATGTACTTTGCCATTCCAACCTTTAAAGCATCATGTTAATGAAAAATTAAATATGAGGAACTTGAAAAAAATCTCCTTTGAACAATAAACATATAAAAACTTAAATTACTTTCAAGAATAATTATGCTTTGATCAGCCTCAGTTTGCTTTCGAGCGTACAATGCGGTTAATTATCGTTCTTTATTTCTTCAATCAAGAGTTTGAAGAATTTAAAATTGAGCTAAATCTCGCGCAAAATATAAATGTTCACGCTGATGAGCTCTTTCAAGAAATATGCTCCGAACTGTAGGTTTGAAGAAAATAATTCGAAAAGGCAAAACTACCCACTACTGGGTTGATTCAGCGGATACTTTGTACATTCCGTGCCAACGACCTAACATATGTATTTCAATCTCTATTTTGGTATTTTCAAAGACTTGTACAAACACTTTAAAGATGGTATCTGCGTCAATCTTGCTATAAAATTTTATTATTTGTGTACTTTTAGTTGTCTATTTGAAATATGCGCAGCGCGGAGCATTTGTGTGCTATTTCATCGGACGTTATTGACAAGCAATGAAGCAAACATTTACATTTTTGAATTTCAAGGTTGCTATAGAAATAGTTTTGTAAGAAAATCTAACGGGCAATGTTTTATTGATTTTGAATGATAGTATAACCAACTTTCTTAACGAAATAATTAAGCGTCTTACCTCCAATTCGGCGTATTCGCTGTTTATAGAAGAATCGTTCGTCAGTAGCTCCGGTGAAATAGATGGCATTTGGCCCGGCCTGGTGGCCGCTAGTGGTACCTGATAGGTCTCAAGGTCAGTTTGAAAAAATGATGGTTCGATGTTTGTCGAAGATAGGAAATTAACGGATACGGGGTGGTGGTAGTTGAGGGTCGCTGCTGCTGCCATGAGTTGTAAGCTCCTTTCTTGGAGACCAGCTGAATGATAGTTGATTGCAGTCTATATGGCGATTTCTTCAGTTGTCATTAAACGATGAATCTTGTTGCAAGTTTCACCGATTATCTACAGACTGTAAATTGTTCAAAAAATGCAAAAGTTTAGTCAACCGTAAACCCATGCCCAGGTTGCGGTTTGCAAATAACCATAAAGCATTTTGTTGACATGCAACCGTGGCTTTTGCATTTTCTTTTTGCATTTGCAAAAGACAGATGTGCAACCGAAATGCCTGGTATGCCCAATGTTCGAAAGTGTGCAATAAATACTCGCACTACCTAATTTAACTACCTTACAGCTGCCATAAACATCCCCTAAATGTTATAAAGCGCATGACAAAACCGAATTCTAAAGTTTTAAACAACACTTTAATGAATTCCGAAAAATTCCGGTATTTGAAAAAACATACTAAGATTGCTAACCTTATAATTTTAATAATAATTAAAACAGACAATGAGAATTTTACTTAAGACCCATACTGAATTAGTGACTGTTCTGAGTGCCTATCTTGTTATCTTATACCATCCAAGAAGAACCACCATGTATCAAATCCCGCGTATTCTGCCACAAGTTTAAGACCGGCACTTGCTATTTATACTCTCGTTAAAATTGGTCGCAAAGAGACGCAAGACACTATTTTTATACCGGTGCGGAATGCGACGTCGTCATATCTATTGCATTTGTTATTATTATTAAAACGGTGATGTCACATAGCGAAAGAGGTAAATTAATAGTTGGCCAAGAATACTCAGCTTATCAAGATTATACTTTCTCAACATTTGCGTATGTAGTTCTCAAAATTCTCTCGTCTAACGATTTGTCCGAGTCTTAGACACAATCGCATCAGAAGACCTAAGCTCTTTGGATTAAATTTGCGAAGTTAGGTCTAATATAAATCAAGTGATATTTTTTCTTCAATTTCAGGACCGTGTGCTTTTTTTCTGACTTGAATAATTTAATTTACAGTATGTAATTAGAACACGACATTCCTTTGAATACATAGTACCTTTCATTTGTCTCTACGATTAACTACTCTTAATATGTGCGAACTAGTATCCCACGCACGTCGACGTCGCTATGCGTGAAAATATTCCGTCGACGTCCTTTTTGATTTGAAGGGCAGAAAAAATAACTCCAGCTATTTCGTTTGTTTGCGACTACAGTTAAACATTAAATGTTGCCCACGTAACGGTTATGAATTACGTAGAGAGTACTGGAACGTGAAGTCACGCGGATGTCTCATCAAACAAACCTTTTTTTTTTCAAATTTGGCTGGTATATAATAAGCGACTAGCTTCAGTGATGCAATGTTTTAGCAATATATCGTTCAATAAAATTCTAAACCAGAGATCCGATTTAATATTTACAACCTATTCGTCGTTTCAATAAAATATTTGTGGGAGAAGGATAAACAAAAACTGTTAAAAATCTACATCGACTAATTGGGTTGAGTTTGTGGTAAAACACAGACAAATATTCAGTTCTAGTTGAGTGCAAGCTTCAACATCTACAATGCAAGCGTCGAAAGCGAAGTAAAATATTTCATCATTTCGATTTTCACGATTTTTCTCAATTTAGTATATTTGGGTGATAAAAATGTCACCATCAAACGAAAGTATACGCATAATTTATATTTTAGCGTGTCACGATAACCCTCGGTCGTTTCTACCGATTCTATTATCGCAACGCGGATCAAATATTGACATTACTCCTATGTAAACTAGAATATTCTTTGTCCCGCAAACAGGTTTACGTTTTAGCTGGCACCAACTTACGTTAAATATATTGCGTTTGTGAAATATATTCCTAAACGAGTGCAATGCACAGAAATTCTCATATTCGTAAACGAAATGAATCCACAAATGAACTGGAGTCGTTTTCAACGATAAAAAATAACCCACATATGCAATTTTTCTTTTAAAATACTACAGTAAAAACAACAATTCGGCTATGGAACATAACGTTTTTAAATATCGCTAAAAAGCTTTCGAAATCTACCACGCAGTTGGAAGTAGTGGATGCGATATCTTTGATTAAGCCCTGAGTGTCTCAATTCACAAGTGCATTTCGAAAATTCCATACAAATAACAACGAATGTAGTCTCATTTTCCGTTGCGTGCGTAGAGCGAACGTTGGATCTTGACAAATATTCTTGTTTAAATATGTGTTTAACGGAAAGTAGGTAAATAGTAATACGTTAATGGGATTCGGGCAAACGTAGAACAAAACATAAGTAATATTGAAGTATTCTGGATATAAAACGTGTAATATTCTGAGTCAATGCAATTTAAAAAATAATTTTTACCTTTTCTCTATAATGTATCTCAAATGTTGGCTATGTTTAATGTGGACCAATCATGTGCGTTGAGATTTTCTTCAAAACTAATATTTCTTTCTTACATATTTACTCAAGTACTCGTGTCTCAATCGCAAAAATATATTTAGAAAAGAACGCAAACACCGGGTAATTTTGTTAGTCAAACGTGACTGATCGAAATCGTAAGTTATCTTCTCCCTTAGATCAGGATAAACGAGTTTATTTCGTTTGTGTACTTTTAGAAAACTGATTTGATCGATATACAATTTATCTGAACCAGAAATATACAACGCGACTCAAAATAGATATTTACTATACAGGCTTAACGCTGGCTGGTATACATTAGTGTGGTTTCCTACAGCTACAGTGTAACTGCTTGCGATGCATATGCATACTACTATGTACTTCATAAAACGTTAAATTCACCAAAACAGACGTTTGGTTAAACGTTGAAAATCATCGAATAAAGTTAATATTTTTTCATGTAATATTTGCATTTGCCATTTGAGGTTCCTTTTTCATTTACGCGAATGATCTTTGGGTAAAAACAACCAATGCGAAAAGATCAATATCATATCAAGCTGAGTAATTTATATGTACTTTTCAACAAAATTTTTTTTTTTTTTTTATAATTGTTTTCTCAAGACAAACAACATGTTCCATATCTTTCAAGTCATTATCAAACTTTTTTTTTATCTCAATAAATTTCAAGCATGTTACAATTCAGGAAATTACATGTCATACCATTTTTTATGCGCGAAATGTGAAATCGAACATTATTTAAAATGTGGAACCTATCTTGTTTTTCATATGAAAATAAATAAGTAAACATTGATAGTATGGACAACACTTACCTGTTCAAATAAAATCAATATTCGCTATTTCTTCTGAAGCGTAGTAAACACTTAGTTTCCTTTGATGCTTGTTCAATCTTGTAAAATAAAAATGGCGTAAAACTTGAAGAGTAAAAATAATTGATAAGAGTGGTCGTTGTCAATGCAATGTACAGGATGGTAATTTCATCGGATTTCGAGAAGTTTCTTGAGAATAAGGAAATATGTTGAATAGCGACAACTAATACTGATGTCGCTCGTCGTTAGAGTTGATTCTTTTCAAATATGTAGAAAAAAACTGTTCTTCTTTGTTCAACTATATATAACTTTATTGTATGTTTCCTCCGCAAGCAAGTTGTGAGTAAAATGGCGTCGTACAGTTTTTTTTATTTTACTTTATAGGTTTGCTTAAAAGCAATACCGTCGTCTAAAATTAATAAATGTATAATGGTATTATTTCGATTCAAATGGAATTAATATATTTGTTTACTTCCAATTTCATTAAACAAAACCAGCGCTCAAGTTGCAGAAATCCCGATAGAAAATCTCGTTGAAAATTACAATTTATTGCCAATTATCTACAATCATTTTTGGCCCCAAAATTCTAAAACGGTTCTTTCTTCCCCGCATCGCTAAAACTCATAGCCAGAATATTATACGTTACTCTACGTATCTACGTATACAATATATAATAATAGTGATAATTCTCGATCTATTGTTAAAATATTACACACATACACAGATATACATATATAGATATAAGCTATTTTTCACGTTCTCATATTGGATGGCTTCGCCCGTTCAATACTTACAATACAAAATTATAGCGGCCCCGAAGACGAACAATAAAGGCGGATTATGAATACGCTATTGACCTTTCCAAACATTCAATATCGATGTCTGGAAAACCATACCATATCATATCGTAACTGCCTTTCTTCTGAAAAATCTGAATTGGCTACCCTTGGCAAGTAATGCGAAAATTGATAACAATATGGTACTTTCTATATCTACAAACTACCTCGCTGCCCAAATTTAAAACAATTTTTGCGAACATGTTTCTTGGTAAATATGTTAATATTAACATGAACATATTAGCATGATCACGAATATTTTTTTCACAAGTTTCCGATCTGAAGCTGGTAAACAAGTAATTATTTCAACGCAGCTCACGGCAAAATTACGGATGCATCACCCACCCCTCAATAGACAGTGCGTTTGCTCTGTTCCAATAATATTATTGTGTAGAGTTTTGTGAAGCGTTGTCAAAACTTTCTCGATAGAACTCATGATCCCAACGGTCCTTTTGTAATAAAAACCTCATTATAAATATACCTCTTGTGTTATACTATATTGTGCCTCGCAATTATGATTTAATCGAAAACTAATGTAGTAAAAAAAATCAGGCATGGACGGGTTCATCAAAATATATCATGCCAAGTTTATAAAGGGGGGGTCACTACCCAGCCGCCATGCGTTAAAGCCTTCTTCTCTATCGAATGGCGTAACACAGGAAATGATAAAAGCCAGCCGCCCATAACCTTACCCCGTTAATACGTGTTTACATATTCCGTTGTTCTGAACAACGTCTTAAGAGGAAGGATACACGAAACCAACCGTGGAGAGTTTTGCGGTATTGATGTGCGCTCAGACGAGATCGTTTGAGCGCTCAAATTTGAAAAACAAGTTGTCGATATTGCACAATTTTAACGCATGAATAATCAACTTAAATAAATTCAACTTGTTTCGAACATCATTTCAACATAATAGCAGGTAGATGAATGATTCAAAACAGACAAGAAACTTTTATCAAAGAGTATGTTTTCTTTTTCAATACAACCCATCATCATGATTTTCGGCTATTTTCTTCTTTGCGCTTCGTTTCACTGGAAAAGAGCAGACGAACAGGCGCTGTATCATCCTCTCGTTTATATTTTAGGTGGACATCCAAGCATGAAAAACGTAGGCTATGATTTGTTCCGTTCGCCCCCGCGCTGTTGAAATGTAAAAACCACAAAGCCACGGAATCAGGGAGCGTCGACATCTCTACGCACCTGACGTCAAATGAATACGCTGTCTATTTTTAACGCTCAGTTTCTAAAAATACGTAACAAAGTATGTGTCGCTAAAAATCACATCTTCCGTCTAGTACTAAGAATCCGTGTTCCGGTTGTTCTATTAATTTCGTAGTTCAACGCTAAAACCGCAAACTCGTGAATGCAGCATTGTGGCCTATTTATATTCACATCAATCGTGGTTAATGAAATCTTCGAAGACAAAGACACTCTCTACAGAATTTTTATATAATCTATGATTATACCGGATGTATTGATGGAAATCTACAGCTTACCAAAATATCTTCGGTCCGCAGCTAATTGAATTATTTCCCTACGTGCGATACTATGACAATCAAAAAAGTTTATTGAAAGTATTTGAAGCAACGAAAGCAATTATTTTTAATTATATTTGCGTAATAACATTGTTAGATAAAATAAAACAGTTTAGGGTGATTTTATGTACCGAAAACCCGCTTCCCTCAAGCGCGGAATTCTGTGGTCCGATGGCATTAAGATTTAAATTCTAAAAGTGTGTAAAACTTTAGCCTACCACGGAAGACAATTTTGATTAGTCAAAATATCACCGTCATTTCTGCGGTTGGTGAGTCTGGTGTAATCCTCTTAAACCACGCAAGCGTCAGTTTTATATACATCCTTCATCATAGCAACTTCATGCAGAACTAATTAATCCAATACTGTTTATGTACAAGTTCCAAAATACCTCTAGTTTCTATCAATGTCAGCATACACCTTTCCATATATATTAGATGGTATTGTATTTATTTACTTAAAGTGACACTATACGGAGAAATGATTTATTTGGGCACGGTAGAAAACCTTAATTTAATTTTAACATTTCAAAAAAGGCATTGTACAAAAAATTAGTGATGCGATGATGCTACTTACAAGTATTCATTCCTAAACCAGTCGAGTGATACAACCATTATTTTTACAATCACGGATTGCGAGTTTTTTACTCAAGTTGTATTTTTGGCTCGTGGATACGATCCCGGACATCCTAAAATTACTAAAAAATCACGTCCGTAATTACATAATAAATAGTCCTTCTTTCACATTTGGTTTCACGGTCGAATGCCTGATAGTTATGACAAAAATCGGAAATGTTTCAGGTGCCTGATATAAGACTGGAATGGAGAGGAAGGTTTATCAGTTCTATTAAAATTTATGACTGTTTAGTGTAGACTAGAGTTCAAGTGTTCATTCATCTGTTAAGATGCTAATTTTAATCTTAATCTAAACGTTTGCGTGAGTGTTAAGTTTCAAGTACACTTTATTCCACTTACGTTTAGTTTTTTTTTTGCAACATTAAGTGAAAAAAGTGCCGACACAATTAATTTTACCCGCGGTTAACGAGATGTAAACAATACCACTAACCTCCAAAATCGTGTAACACATCGAACAGACTTAAACGCTCTCCGTTATTGCGTCACGGTCCGCTTTTATATCCGTGTCAGGCAACCGATTGTTTCCATAAACTCGTCGTTGATATGTCGTCATACACATTGCAAGTAACCACGCTATTTTTTATATACATCTCTTCGTAGGTGTCAACGTTTTTCGCAGAATAGAATTTACTAATGTTTTCATCTTTTCCGTGTTATAAACTATACGAACAAATATCTTCTAAAATCTCCGTTTGGTTGGTAACTGCAGTGAGTGTTTTGATATTTAACAACAGTAGCAGTTTCATCAATTAAACATGCTTAAAATTGATGTCAATGCCAATTTTAAGATCTCAAGGACACTCCTTATTAGAAAGTTCGTTTTGATGTCTAAATTTGGCAATTTTAAGATGGTTTTCATAAGCGACGAGAATCACTTTTTCAATACCACGATAACAAAAATGTTTATGTAAACCTCAAAGAAAAAAAATTTATTGAATTTATACAGATGATATTATTCCTATATTTCAGTATAAACAAATTTTGTCAAGTAGGGCGATAAAAAAATTAACTTTGTCGCGATTTAAAATTTTAATTTTTAAATCGTGTTCATGCTTTTAGCAATGAATGAACTTTTAATCCAGTTCTGATCATGCGTCACTAAATTGTTTAAAATGAAAATGTACTGCATGTGTGGTAAAATACTGCCGTCTGGTCAGTTCCTACGTTTAAATTTTTTCCAGCTTTCCATTACACCATTTGATTACTTCTAAAGCGTGTATTAGATAAGCTTCGATTTTACGTAAAAGTTGTTTATAATCTCGTCTATCGGAGATAGACTATAATCGGAGTCTATCTCTTCCAGTAAAAAAGTCACGTGGTTCAGAATTTCCAAAAGTGGTAATCTCTACAAAATTATACTATTGTTGTTGTATACTAATGATTTCTGAAAATTTTGTACGTCTGTGTATTTTTAGAAAACAAAATAGGTCTATTTCAATACTGGTATTAACAAAGAACATTCCATTCATTCAACAAACATTGCATTGTTGATATTTCTCCTATCCCCAAATTTGTGAAAGATCAAAATAAAATTGGCAGCCACAGAATCATTTTACCGTTGATTCCATTGAATCGTGATTTCTTTATCAGATCCTGAACGCGCGATAGTAAGTCTTCTTAATGCCAAACAAAAACATCCGAATGCATAATTTTCTAAGCGTAAACGTGCTTTTTCTACTCTTTATCTGGTTTATATCGAAAGTAGTGGCTGAACATTTCGCCCCTTATGATCTTGAGAAACCTATTATTATACCTACCGGCGACTGTTTTAGATTGTTGTTTAGACTGTCATAATATTTACTTGTCCAAATTTTCTAATATAAAATCAAATTGGAATAAAACACACAAACAACATAACAAAAATCGACAAAAATGGAACATTTGATATTTATGTCTTTTTGGTTATTGACATTGTGTTGAAGACATAAAAATATTTCTATTGTAAACATATAAATAAACTATAAAATGTTCATACATTTTAATATCACTATTTAAGGGTAAAAATTATTTTGGAGACTGAAAAAGGTATTTTTAGACCTCATTATCAATATATTGCTGAAAAAATTATACTAAACGAAATTTCGGCTGTTCATATAAACATAAAGTAATGTGGATGACTCTCGTTACATGTCGCCGACTTATTTCCGGCGATTTTCATAAATTGTGCAAAAAATTCTTTAATAATAGACGATTTGCCGTCGGCAACTAATCATTTCGTAGTAAAAGACAGTGCGATTTTTGTTTACGTATTTTCTTATATTGAAATTTATCTTTCCCGAACAAATATGTTACCGTTATAATATAAAGAGACAAACTATTATTATTTCTTCGCACTAAATACGTTTTTCCATAAATAAAATAGTAATAATAATTGAAATGGTAATTGTACTAGGCAAAATATAAATATATTTGTAAGTTTTTGAATTTACTACCGTTTGAAATGTAAAGAAGATTTAGAAATAATAAAATACAGAATAGCTTTGTTGCGCGCACAGATACGAAATGGCACTAAAGTATATTTGTGACAGTGTGCAGCAAAATTACGGCGTTGAATTCCACTACAGTTAGCTCAATACCTTCATACAAATAAATTCCCACATAAAATAATTATTACGAAAAAAAAGAAATCTTTTAAAACAGATAATCCGACATTCGTTCGATATATATCTTTATTATGTTATCTGCAGCTGTTTGCTGGCATTAAAAATTATCGAACATCAACAGTAAAGTTTTATCGCAACCGAATGATTATGAAATCGAAATTTTGGGAAAACTCTAATTCTGTATCTACAAACCAGACCTTTTCATTTTAACTACGCAATGACCAAATAGGATAGTTAGTAAAAGTATATCACTTAAAATAGATATCTTCACTTTTTACAGCATCATTCCATTTCACGCATAATGAGCCACCAGCAAAATGTAGTAAGCATGTATAGTTAGTTTCACAGAAACTCCCTCAATAGAACATGATAAAACAAATTTGTTTAACGACAGAGTAATGTATAAAGTTTATTACCTTCTTCGCTTCTTAGAAATCACTCAAACCTCAAGCTCACGTTCATTTTATCACAGATTGTTCCCTTGATTTTACCTGCGACACCGACCGACAAACGCCGTTGGTGACCCATGTTGACAAGATTTATCTTCGTTTGTTTACGTTAATCTGGTTTTAACATCACTCGGGTCATTACGTGTTATATTAAAAATTTAAAGGTGAACGGAAGATTTTAATGTTGCTAAAACATTCGATGACATCATAGCTTCGAGTGTCTACCAACCAATATAATCAAAGCATTCAGTGATTTGGCCCAACGTTCATTTTGTGATTGACAGTTGTATAAAACCCATTAAAACTGATCTTCCTAAATACTGAATCTATGTTTTTATTTTAGTTTTTACAAATCGAAATTCGGGATTACTTAATTTTTCGTACTTAATACTATTTTCGTTTCATTAAAGCAAGTTCACATTTTACTCAAATTGCTAATTCGACACATAGGAACATGACACCACGCAAAAATATATCTAATAATGTTTTGGAGTCAACAAAGTTGCTAGCAGTATCGTATCGTTTAAATAGATACTACAGTTTCATTTTTTGAATTTTCATCGTAGATACAGAAAATGAAAGTATTTCTGTTACAGATAAATTAGCGCAAAGTGATTGCCCCCGTTAAAAATATGATTCATATAATTATAAATATTATTTTATTGATAGTTTACGTAACAAAACAAAGGTGTATTAGAAGAGTTCTCAAATATCTTAAACCCTAATTTTGAAGCAGAACGGAGAAAGTTCTGGATAAACAAGGATAAAGCGTGCATGTCCGCACAACCTTGATATCACCTATTCAAATTACATATGACTGAATCACCATTGTACGTGCATTGTATTATTATGTCAGACTTTACATTTCGCAACAATATTTTCATCACGTATATAATGGCGAAATGAGATAACATTCCGATTTACAGCAAATGTTTCTCCGCTTGCGTGGATACGCGATATTGTTGCGACTTGCTTAAAACGTGTTTTGATATTTCGATTTTTAATGTCTACTAGGGGTTCCACCTACCTGGTTAAAAACAATTGGTAAATTATAAAGAAAAAACAAGTAAGTTTCATACGGAAACAAAAATAAACAAGGGCCTGGGTTCGACTTGTGTTTTACTTTAGTTCAAGTCCTAATTCACATATATATATATATATATGATCTACTTCGCATCTATCATGGAAAAGTAATTTAATTTTTCTTTTATTTTTCACTACAAAGATAACAAGTAGCATTTGAGTTTCTATGAAAGATATGATCAAAAAATGAGTTTATCTTCACGCATCATATTTTCTCCTACCACTTCCTGGCAAAACACCAAAAATAAAAATGACTAAATTGTATACCCGGACTTTTTTTAATTTGAATTTGAACCCTCTTTAAAAGTCAGATTTGGTAAAATGTGATATTACAAATTTACATAATATTAGAGTGTAAGAAAATCCTTTATTTTAATTGTGTTTGCTTTAGGTGAACATTTTGGTAAACTATTTTTTAAATACACACGCTACTGTTACCGACATAGTGTAAAATCTAAATAGTGGAATGAAACTTTTTGCGCGGGTTGTTCGCACTTTATAGTTTTAATTAGAGTTCAGCGTGACATATATATCCTATTTGTACGAAATTTTTCGTTTTGGGTAATAAAGTTATCATAATTGAAAATTCATTTTATTAAAACCCTTATACAATACAGTATTGCCACCCGCCTCATCACCATATTTGAAAATTCGGGTAAGGCGGAATTTAAACAAGTTTTTTTCAGACAGCACAAATTTCAATGGTCAAGACTCTAGAAGTTCTGTCATCAGAATAGGTATGTGTCTCGATGGTTTTAACGTGTGTAATAAAAAAAACTTTGTTTATACACATTTCAAATTATGCGTTCAGTTTTCGTATTTATTCAAGGTTAAAAATAACTTGCAATGACAAAGGAATTCTCATATAGTTAAAATTATGACACTGTTGTAATATTTTATAAAGATAAAATTGCGTAAAATGTTATAAAACTGCTTTTGAAATATTTTCTCAATTCTATTTACTGCAGTATGCTTTTATACGCGAATTAGGGATTTTTTTCCGGTAATCTATATTTTATATATACAACTGTTCGCCATTTGACGTCCTGAAAATTGTCATTTGTCTAATAAAATGCAACAGTCATATTTTAACAAATGTCGAAGCTTTTATTGTCGCAAAACTGGCGCCACATATATGAGCAATAAAATATTATCCCTTTCATGTCAATTTGACGTTACGCAGTCAGCAGCGTAGCATTTTTACACACTTGCGTGCACGTAAAATATGAGTCTTTTACTGGATAAAATTTAGTGTCAATTTGTTCCCATTTCCAATCGGCAAATAGAGCAAGTAAATAAGTATATTATATTTTAATTTGCCTCTCTGCAGGGACTGTAAATGTTATTGATGTACAATATGTAGATATTAAAAAAATCCCAAATTTATGTTGTGTCAAATGGCAATTTCAAAATGATATCAACTTTTATAAGTATTTTTTATGATAATGTTCACAGCGAACAATTATTTAGCTAAGCGGTATCAAAATGTATAAATGTGATACTACTTGCTAAATAGGAATGAATTTATCCAGAAGCACGATTCCGATGCACCTAAGCGATATACCAGACGTGGATTTTACCCTGTTTGTCAAGGCAGTTTACGTCGACATCGAAATGTTGAAAACGCAAATGTTTCGGTCCATTTCCATATATCTGAATCGCGCACTTACAAAACAAGTATTATGTTTCAAAGTTGTGTTAATTCATGGTTTCAATTACCTTTGTGGCTCAAAATGCTCATTTTACGGGTCACATATCTCACTTAGCTCATAACCACTTCA